TACTATCCGCAGCACTTTCTGTTCACGGATTCAACAAGGTTATTTTTATGTATTTTGACCCGCTGAATCCGAAATTCGAGATTGGAAGGCTGGAGAACGCGATTTTTCGCGTTTATCCATGAAAATTATGAATTTTCCGGATGTTAGTGACGTTTTCCAGCCTTCCAATCTCGAATTTCGGATTCAGCGGGTCAAAATACATAAAAATAACCTTGTTGAATCCATGAACAGAAAGTGCTGCGGATAGTTTACATGGCCGCTATATTACTTTCATGATTTTCAAGATATAGGAAAATTTGAAAATTTGTAAACTTAAAATTGTAATATCACACCGAAGCAAAAAGATATTTAAGCAAACTCAACCATTTGAAAGAGGAAGACTTGTACTTTAATACCTTTTTTGTACTTTTTTGAGAAAAATTACTCTGGCTTGCATGCATAACCGCAAAAGTGCGCAAAAACGGCATTTTTTGCACTTTTAGGTTAGAATATCTCAAAATCCTGATGTGATAGAGCAATTCTGCGGCCAGATTTGAATTCAGCGCACCGAAAACCTTCGGGAAAGTATAGTCTGGTTTCTGGGTAAAAATTTTGTCGACCTGTGTAATTGAGTCGACGCCAATTAACAGTTTATAATATTGTCCGTCAATAGATTATTATTTGGTGACAATCATAATTGGACGGGCGCGATGACAATATCCCATTTTGGAAACGTGTAATTTTGTACAGTGTTTAGACGCGAGGTATTGTTGTGTGTATTCTATATCTATTATTTATGCGCGCGATCTGCATTTTTAGGCGTGTTTACGTCGCGGCTCTCGTGCTATCCGTGACAGGTGTAATGTTTATACACAGATAAGCTGACAGATATTTAATACGCTCGGTGTTAAATGCACGGCGAAGCTCAACTTGCTCAAAGATTTCCTAACACGGTTCACTAATTAGGCGGTTCGTGAAGATGCGTAGTTTCGGAACAAAATCTCTCTTGGGTGTGCGGTGAAGTGGGAGTTCCTAACGGAAATAATGAATCGGTCGCTTCAGAGTTGTTATAAGACGAATGGATTGGCCACAAGGTTGCGAACGTTTGACGGAGACGAAAAATGCTGTCCCGAAACTCATCAGAGAGAATCGGCGGGGTTTGCTAGCAACCCCGAGAGCCCTCGATGGAGACGGCGCACTCACCGAATCTCGTTGAAAAATGGGTGGTTTCTCTTAGTGATGCTAGAAGCCTGGAAACGCCTAGCGGAGGTTGTGAGCGCACGATCTTAATTAGGAAACGGAAATTAGTTATCGCGAACACGCGATAGGGACAACGAACACATCACCCCGCGGTTTTACAAATTTCGGGAAAATCTGGTATACTGTCGAAAGCGCTCGACTGAGACGGCGAACTCGCCACTCCAACGAGTGTAACCAGGAGGCGGGAAGGGACCAAGATAGTCTCTATCGGGAATTAGGTTTCAAGTGCAATGGTTGAGCAGCTGGTGCGGAACGGTGATTTTGTTTTGCGGCGCGCGCTTTTAACAGGTCTTTGCGCGGCTCTAGATGCATTTGTTATAAGCCCAACGACGAAGTATGTCGATGACCATAAACGGAGCCACGGTTCCGAATTGCCAAATGTCGCTATGCGGAAATGCAAGCTGGCATTTTTGCAATAGAAATATCGAAATTAGGATGGTCAGCGTCCTCATTTAGATGACGCTGACACATCAATACTGTCCCCTCTGATTGAGACGTAGGAAGAGGATAAAAAGAGACGGTGCGGGCGCGACTCTAACTCTCAACTCTCGGGTACCGACACGCTGTCGGACGCGTACGTGATAGACCTATGTTTCATCTACATTGTATCGGGCGATTAAGTAATAAAGACAAGTTCAGTTTTTTATCAATCAAAAAACACTTTTATCTATTGCGCCTCACCACCTCCTCCCGCTTTACCGCACTGTACAAGCATTCCACATTACCCGCAACATTACGGACGCGCAACACATTGTTGCCTGGCAACGCGCGTGTCTCAACAGTAACACATGGTCGGCCGGTGAAACACGCGTCGAATCCGTGTTTTTAAAGAGATTAAAGTAACACAAAGCGCCGGTAACGGCCCGACTGATGTTTGGTCGGGCTGTAGGGGCTAGATGCAAGTTTGAACCATAACAACTGAATAGATTTAAAAAATTGTTTTCAACTACTTAAAATCTTACACTTCATCTTCGATTTGATACTTCAATCATTTCCAATATATATAAGAGGGCGATCTGATAAGTAGTAGGATTTGAAATGAAAACGCAATATTTCGGAAAAATTTTGATTTACTTTTTAACATAGTCTCCTTTCACTTCTATGGACTTCTTCCAACAGTGTTGTAACTTTTTAATGTCCTCTACAAAATATGATTGCTCAAACTCTGCAAAATAGGCATTTACTTCAATGATGACCTCCAAATTCGACGTGAATTTCTTCCTTGAGAGCCATTTTTTCATGTTGGGAAACAGGAAAAAGTCGTTGGGAGCCAAATCTGGAGAATACGGTGAATGGGTGAGCAGTTCGTATCTCAATTCGAGTTTAGCTGTAGCAATTGCGGATGAATGTGCCGGTGCATTGTCGTGAGAGAACAGGACTTTCTTCTTTGCAAGATGAGGCCTTTACTTTTTCAATTCCACGTCGAATCGTACCAGCAAATCACTGTAGAATTGCTTCTTGATAGATCTTCGTTAGTCCAAATAATCGATGAGGATTACACCACGGGAATCTCAGAATACCGTAGCCATGACTTTTTCGGCCGATGGGACCGTTTTGGCCTTTTTCAGAGCTCTTTCGCCAGGTAAAGTCCACTGTTTAGACTGCTGCTTGGTCTCTGGTGCATAGTGATAGACCTATGTTTCATCTACAGTCACAAAACGATGCAGAAACTCCGCTTGACTGCGCTGAAACAGCTCCAAACACATCTTCGAAGTGACTACCCGATTTCGTTTTTGATCCATAGTGAGCAACCGCGGCACTCATTGCACCGATAATTTTCTCATGTGCAATATATCATGTATGATATGTCCCGTATGTTTTTTCGAGATCTTTACCATGTCTGCTATCTCACGCACCTCCACCCGACGGTCGACCAATATGATATCTGCACTTTTT